AAATTGAAATTGTACCAAATTATATACACGAGAACACACTTTCAGAACTACCTCCTCATATCGACGTTACTCCTGAAACTTGATACTCATTCGAAATTTTTAGTTTTTATCTTCAACCGTTCACATGGTACTAAATGGTACCAAATATAGTACTCGTTGGTACTTTTCGTACACCTATAGTGCGAATTTCGAAAAACTCTTCGGAACATCTACCCCTACTGCTTCCTCAAAATCCAAAGGGTACGAGTTTTAGTTCCTTTTAATACTGTTCTATTACGAATTTCCAAAAACCCAGCCTTTCTTGAGAAATAAAGCAATATGGCAAGAAAATGAAAAAAATCCCCCCACTGTGCCTGGCTCTTGTATGTATACGCGTGCGTGTGCGCATGCGCATATCGATTATTTTGATTTGCTCTTTTGGCCAGAATTCCGATACAAAGCAGACAAAAAAAGAAGTCTTTTATTTTTAACCGTTGATGGTCAGTCAAATGTCGTTGATTTGTTGTAATATTAACTTTTGACTCGGTTTTTGTGCGTTAGACTGTGCGTGTGTGTGTGCGTGCATGTGTTTTGAATCTTTTTTTATTTTGGTTGAATGACAGTCAATATTTAACAATTCTGTTGCGGATTTTTGTGCAATCATTGTAATTATTTTATGGCAGCGGAGGTTATTGATTTTTTTGATGTCATTAACAGTTGGTTTCTTGTTCTTGTTGTTGTCGACGTTGTCGGTGTCGTTGTTGTGGTTGGTGGAAGGTGGATGGGAGTGTGACGATGAATGGTGGCTTTGAAGATGTCGATGTCTAGGGTGCTGTTGCTGGCGATGGTGGTAGTGCTGGCGGTCATGAGCTAGTACAGGTATTGATTATTGTTATGGATTTTTAGTACCTTTATTGACATTTAATTCGCTGACGTCGTTTATGTTTTTATTGTTTTTGTATTTTTTACTTTTGCCATGAAGACATTGAATTGAGTACCGTTAAAAACCGTCTTTGCTAATTGAAAGAGATTTTAAAGAAATAATTAAAAGTAGGTTGTTATCAGTTGATTTAAAACGTTTTTTATTTTTATGAAGTTTTGTTTGAAGTTTGACAGCCTTTATGAGAATATCTTTATTGTTTTATAAGTTCGATGGAGGTGTAATTTTATTTTGTTTATTAATGGAGTGTAGATGGACATCAAAAAAAAAAAAAAAAAAAAAAAATAAAATAAATAAATAAATAAATAAATAAAATAGATGTAGAAGAAGATTTGATAAGTTATTATTTTTACATATTTTGTTTTAAAAATATAGTCAATAACTTTAAGGGGTTCCATGAAAAATGATAACCAATGCGGGGTTATGTTTTAGTTTTTTATCCATTTTGAAAAAAAAAATATTTTTTTGGAAGACTTTGCGAAAATATTTTCTTGAAACCCATTATGCGCCCTTTTTGATTGAGTTTCAATGTTAAATACGAATCGAAGGTCACTGGAATCAAAACCAATTTTTACACGTAAAACTAATAATATTTTTTTTTATTATTTTACACTTTTTTTTGCTAAACAACCATAAATGGTAAACAATAAATTTGTTTAAATGTTTGATGGTATAATACATTTGCAGACGGCATGACTGTGCAAATAAATTCGGTGTTAGTTGACCTTTAGAGAAAATGCAAACCAATTAAGTTGAATGACCCATTGCAGGGGAGAACAAATTGGGGATCCATTTATGAAATGAATAGAAATGGGAATCTATGAAATGCAGAAGTTAACAAAAACAAGTAAAAAAGCTGTAAGTTCGGCGGGGCTTGATTTTGAATACCCACTACAATTTGGAATGATTGTGGCAATTTTCAAAAAAAAAAAACAAATAAAATCCCTTAAAAATTCAGTTAAGATCTTAAAAATACCGAATTTAATTTGAAATTAATTTGAAATCGGATAAAAATATATATGGGAACTATATCCAAATCTGAACCGATCTCGATAAAATTTGGCAAAGATATTTCTGAGCTGTATTTGATATATTTCCCCAAATATTGTTGTTACAGAGTGCATGTTACGGCTGAGGAGGACAAAAATAAGAAATCGGGCCTAACAAATGTTGTTTGCAAAATTTCATCTCAATCGGATAATAAATGCGACCTGCATTTTGTTCACAAGAATACATGGACAGACGGACGGACGGACGGACGGACAGGCGGACTGACATGCATAAATCAACTCAGAAAGTGATTCTATGCAGATCATCAAAAGGAACTATGGGTCTATCTCGTTTCCTTTTGCCTGTTACAAACAAATGCACAAAGACATAATACCCTGACCATCCTGTGGTGTAGGGTATAATGACCACCTTGTGGTGTAGGGTATAAAAAAAGTTCGGTGAATAATGTTGCTAAAATCATCAAAATACCGAATATAGAGAGGTACCATTATATAGGTGTTATACCAAAACGTGGACCTGCACAGGCAATTTTCTGTCATATTCTGTAGTATCCATTGTGAACTTCAAATAACAAATTTGAAACATTTCCGAAGAATAATGTGGTAAAAATCATCAAATCAATCAAATCACCGAATATAGGGAGGTACCGTTATATGGGGGCTATACGAAGACGTGGACCTGAACAGACAATTTTCTGTCATAGGCTCTAATATCCATTACGAACATCAAATACCAAATTTGAAAAATTTCCGGTGAATAATGTTTCTTAAATCACCAAAACGCCGAAAATAGGAGGTACCATCATATGGGGGCTATACAAACAGTCCTGCAGACATTATATACATTCGAGTAACATTTTATAAACCTACTTAATTTCTGTCGGAAGCTAGACTGATTTCCACAGACGGAGAGACGCATAGACTGACATACATCGCTAAATTGACATAGAATTTTATGCTGATCAAGAATATATACAGGGTGAGATAAAAAACTGCAACAATGAAAGGAAAAAATGTCGGAAATAGCATCGAATTTTAGAAAAAGTTTAGATTTGTTCGAATTGGCCACCTATGGCAATTATGGCCTTCAAACGGCCAATGAAACCATCACACCAGTATCCCGGCAATGAGCGATGGTACGAAACACAAAAGATTTATTCACATATAAACGCTGGAGAGCTCTAACGATAGCCACTTGTGGTTTTCCAGACAAATATAAAGAAATCACACTATCAAGCGTGAGTTCCATCACGAATAACTTTTTCTCTGGAAAATGTTCACCATCACTGGCATAATTTTAACAGCTGTCGGAAGAGCGGCTTAGAAATGACAGCACTATCTACACATACTCCATTCATCGCAGCAGAAGAACCGAAAAGTTTAGATTATAATGATTAATAATTTAACCCCATTTTATTATTAGGGAATACCCATCTTGCCGATTAAGGCAATTGTGTTGAAGGTGTAAAAAATTGCGCGAAAAAAATATATAACCCTATTTAAATAGGACTTATTTTCACCAATTTTCTGTAAAACGTTTTTCAAAATAATTTAATTTTTTATTTCACGAAATTAATTTTTCTTACATTCACCTAGCGTACGAATTGTACTATTTAATTCGAATTTACCCATCACTAGCACCATGTCTGTGGTGAGCTTCTCAACATGGCTAAAACAAAAGCTTTTATTTGCACTGCCTGACCGAGAGAGAGATAGAGAGCGAGAGCAATGCAACGAAAGCTTTGCCTCTAGGAAACGTGAATAAAATTTTTAACTTCTTCTATTGTGGGGTGGCTTGGCTCGCCTTTGATGGAAACTTAAGAAAACTTTTGAAAGAAAATGAGAGTGTTGTTTTTGTTGTTGTCTATTAGGGTAGCATACAAAGAGGAAATTCAAGAACAAAGAACTGTTGGTTGTATTTTCGGTTGGAATGGGGCGATGATGGTGACTGGCCACTGGTTACTGTTACATGGTTTTGTATTTTCTGTAATGATTCGTGGGGGATTTTTCGAGAGCTGGAAATGCATGTGAACACCTTCGTGGAACGTGTATGTGTGTGCGAGTGTTACAAAGTCCAGTTGCAGTTTGGAGGCCGTTCGGTTTTTGTTTGTGATGTTGTTGCTGTTGTTGTATTTGCTTAATTGTGGTCAGTGCAGTGGAATGCATCTGATGATGTTGAGAACCTTAATGGTTGGTAATTAAAGCTGTGGTGCTGCTGCTGCTGCCGCTGCGACCACTGCCACCACTGAGATTTGTTTGTTGTCAACATCTTTTGAGGGTCTAAAGCTATTGCCGTTCGCTCGTCTCGGTCAGTTGTGTTTGAGCCGTAAAGCGCTACAGTTGTACATTCGTCTCGTCGCCGTTTACCGAAACGAAGAAAAGCCCAGTAGAGCAGTCGCAAAGAAATCGTTTATTTTTCGGTTGGTGTATTTTCTGTTCGATTTCTGTTTTTTTTCTTGAGTTTCTTTTGAGCGTGTGGCCGTGTTGTGAAGTCTCTGCAAGCGTTTGCAAAGAAAAGCCCACAATACAGGAAAAACGTCAACAAGAGTACAACCAACTTTTTGAAGACTCTTCTCACCCGCCCAGCCAGCAAATGCCTGGCGTGGTGTACAAGTGACTTGTACTAAATGAGTGAGCAAACACGCTCGCACACTCTTACAGACAGCCAGACAGACATTGTGATATTTTTGGTGGTATTTCACATAGAGGGATTGCATACTTGTTGGCTATTTGTTCATAGCGAGCTTGTCCCCACCTCCCCTCCCCTCTCTACGCTTCGCTTCTAAGCACTCCACAAAAATATTAACGTTGTTAAGACGGTGGCTATGGCTAAGTGTAAAGTGCGAATTTAGCAACGTTGAAAGAAAACAAAAACAACAACAACAAAGTTTTTTTATGCTTTTTGTACAAAGTATTGCCGATCAACCGAACGAGCAACCGAAAACATTAAGAAATCAACTGAAATATCGGACTCTGTGTGCAAGTGAATGAATATAGCTGGCTCCGTGTGAGTGAAGTGCGAACGCCTGGCATCTCTTTTGGTGAGAAAAAAATAAAAAAACACCAGAGAACAGCGGTCAGCATTCAGCCACAATGACAGAATCAACGCTGCCAGCTGTGCTTTGTTGACGTTAACGCCAAGTGTCGCCACGACGTTTAACTTGGCTTAACAAAAAAACGCTAAGATTTAGTACCAATTCGTCGTTGTACTGAAACACATGGTAAACGTGGTGTTAGCTTGAGAATTTAGTGGTTCGAATCAAAAAAAATTTTGAAATAAATTTTGAAAAAAAATAAAATTTTTGACTAACCAAAAAATATTCTTAAAATTTTGTAAAAAAAAATAAAAAATAAAAAAGTTTGGCAAAAGTAAAGTGACCAAAGATCCTCTCTCTCTTGGATGGAGCGGGTTTGACAGTGAATGACAACGACCAATCAATCGATAGCCAATGCAATAACAAGTGCTTGTGTCTTAAGTCTTTTGTTTTGCCAATAGACAAACTTCTTCTCTCGTTTAACTCTCAACTCCCCCACCAGTCAAAGCAAACGAAGAAAAAAAAACACACACTCACGCAACTTAATAAAGTGGAAATAGTATGAAGTTTCATTAAAGTACAACAACACCAAAAATAAAAAACGATAAAATTATTACATAAAAAAATACAAACAAAAATAATATAAAAAAAAAAAGTTATTAAAAAGGAAATTTGTTTTGAACAACCTCCAGCACCGCCACCAAAGAAGTAGCGAAAAAAGAAGCGAAAAAAACGAAAATAAAATTAGCACTAATAAAAAAAAATCAAAGTTAACCTTTTTTTTATTAACAAAAAACGAAAAGAGATCGATAGTTGTTGAAGTTATTAACAAAAAAAAAAGAAAAAAAAAAAAACAAATATTAAATCATAAACGAAACCAAAGAAACAGACTAAATTTTGGGATTTATATGCAAAATTGTAAAAGGATTTAAATAATAAAAAAAAAACCAAAACAAGTAAGTAAATTTTTATAAAATTTGAAAATTAATAAAAAATAATTTGCCATCCAAAATCACAACTGATACATCGAATAAATTTTAATTATATTTTTTTTTTATTTCAACATCAAGAACCTTAAAATCGCCCCATTATCGCCTTTATTCCTAGGCAGCCAATTTGTTTCGTTTCCCGCAAAACACTTTATTCGCAATTCATTTGACGAAGATCGCTTTTGTGTTCGAGGAATATAAATTTGTTAATTAACAAATTGAGGCTACGTCAGAATTTTGTTGTTCGGATTCTCACTTTTACCCTTCATTTACATTTCTATGTGTATTGGCTTGCGATTGCTGTAGTTGTTTTTTTTTTTTTGAGTGCGATTTTTTTATAAATTGTCAAAATGTGCGCGCCCGCTAAGGAATCGAAAAACCAAAAAAAAAAAATGTTCAAAAGATTGCCACTCACATACACGCAACATTCGTACTGGCAATTTAGCTATAAATGACAAGTTTAGACACAAAGCGACAATAAAATTTTGAGAGAAGACGAAAAAAATGGCTTAAATTACCTTTTTTACACTCGAGGAAAAATTAAAAATTCAAACTAAAAAAAGAGAATAAATTGTCTATAAAATTTAAAAAAAAAAAAAATAGTAATAATAATAAATAATAAATTAATAAATAATAATAATAATGTAACGGGTGTTTTTCTAGGAGATTGCTGATTTTAAATTTCAATAAAACAAATTATAAAATGCCAAAAAAATGATAGAAAAAATGGTCTTTAAAATTTAAAAAAAAAAATTAAATAAATAAATAAAATAAATTTAAATAAAACAAATTATGCCAAACAATGAAATGGCCAAACAAAAATTATTTGATTGATATTTTTTTGTCATATAATATTTTAATATAATTTTGGGAATATGGACATTACGACTATTTTCCACAAAGGTCATTCTTGAGGTCCAGTTTTCGACCACCTTTTCTAGCAAAAAAGAAGCAGAATTAACTCGAACTTTTTTATTCCATTGCAATTCTTCGAAAACGTTTCTGTGATATAGATTTAATTTTAATTGTGATTTATAATTAGCTATTGTTAATAATATTAATATTTTTGTGTCTAGTTTTTTTTTTATTAATTTTAATTGGCAATAAATATTAACGATAACTCTCAAACAAAAAATATTAAAAAAAATATTTTTAAAACCGGTTTCTTCTTTAAAAATACTGCTGAAAAGCTAAAAACCCCAGCAAAACGTTGAGTAAATAATGTAAACTATTTTTTTTATTGTCATAAAAATTTTTTGACAAAAAGAAGTTCAAAATATTAATTAAAAAGGTCCACGAAATTACAAAACTTCAAAAATAAAACATATTTTTTTATTTCATTTTTGAACTTTGCGTTGTTAAGGAGTACACAGAGTACATTTTCATGATAGTTTCCTTTTCTTTTAATAACTTGTCTATTTTTCGATATTTCTTTAAATTTTATTGAACCTAATTTTTGTTTTAGAAAATTTGAGGATTTCGGTAAGAGAGACTGAAATTTGCAAGGATAGTTGTACCAAATTAAAAAAAAAAAAACTTAAAAATATATATTTTTTTAATTAAAAGAAAAAACAGTGTCCGCAAAATGACCTTTTTTAATATTTCCAAAATCAAAGCAAAAAAGACTTTTTTAATATTTTTTCAAAATTCGTTTATTTTAATTTCATTTAAATGACTGACACGGCTGGTCATGTTCTACACGATCGGTCAAGTTTTTAAACACATTTCCGATTGTATGACGACACCCCACAAATAATGGTTCAAAGTTATCAAATCGCGGCTTACAACAAATGTTTACTTTTTATCTTAAAAATCTTTCATTTTGGAAAAACAATTGGTAAAACCATTACACAATGGACCGACATCTAATTTTTCTGTTCAAACCCATTTCAACGTCTCCGCATGTTAGCTCTAGAAACCAACAGCAGCCAAAATCTGACATTTCAGGATTTAAACTCAAACCATTCACTCAACGGCGAATTTAGTACCATTTAGTACTTTTCCAATAATTTTAGTACCCATTTACAAACCCACTTCCAAATGTCAATATCAGATACCAACCGTTATATCAAATTTCAGAATTGTATCTCTATCCCTTGAACCCATACCAAATTTAGTACCATTTAGTACTTTACGTACAAAAATAGGTCGTATTTTCAACCCACCGCCAAATCTCAAACCCAGATACTAACAGAGATCTCAATATCCAATTTGAAGATTTTAGCCCTCTCCCTTTGCTCAATACCAAATTTAGTACCATTTAGTACTTTTCATACAATTATGCTACACATTTTCAAAACCACCTCCATTTTTCAATTGCAGATACCAACAGTTATTTACATATCAAATTTTAATGATTTCAACCCTATTCCTTCAACCAATACCCAATTTAGTACCATTTAGTACTTTTCGTACAAATATAGGATGCATTTCCAAAAGATATATCCATTAGTAACCTATAAATCAAATATCAGAATTGTATCTCTATCCTTCACCCCATACTAAATTTAGTACCATATGGTAATTTTCGTACAGTTATAGTACATATTCCCAAAATCATCTTCATGTGTCCAGATTACACAAACAAACACCCTTATATCAACTTTCAGATTTCAAGCGTTATCTGTTTACCCAATACCAAATTGTACGAATATAGTACTATTTAGTACTTTTTGTGCACTTGTGGTACATATTTCCAAAACCACCTCTTTATCACAAACCTACAATATCAAATTTCTAAACTTCAGCTTCATTCGTTCACCTTAAATCAAACTATTCCAAATTTAGTACCATATAATACAGTTTGCACACTTAGCACACATTTCCAATACCACCTTAACCTTCATATTATCAAACTTATTTGCCAACCTTGATTCTCATATCAAATTTGGAGTTTTAAACTCTATCCGTCAACATAATACCAATTGGTGCCATTTTGCAAGTTTAGTACTATTTTAAATCTTTTCGTAATCTTAAATTTCGAATTCTCAAAAACTCTTTGGTATATCTATCCTGCACTCCATCAGTGGTGCTCATTCCAAATTTCAGAAAATTTTTAGTATTTTTAGTATTTTTCGTACCCGTTTAGTACGAATTTTTAAAAAACCAACCTTATTATAGGCCACGGACCGTGCAACATTTCAAGACTCTAGCTTCAGCCGTTTCGTCAGGGCTTTGATTTACGGCCAGTGAGTGAATAAGTCAAAGTTTCGCCTTTAACGAAATTTATGCTGATTCCCACACTCCTCTCATGAGTCCAACTGCCGATCTTTTATTAGCTGGCATTAATTGTGCTGTTTCATTTGTTACCATTGCCCCCTGAGACAACCTTTGAAGTCAAACAAATATATCCGCATCCTCATTAACCGAAATGAAAATGAGGAAAACTTCTATTATTTTTTTCTAACCGCAACAACAACAAAAAATAACCGTTTACCAGAGACATGCTCATGAAATTAGTGTGACACGCAAAGTTTTGTGACAGCGACTCATTAGAATGTGCACCGCTTTGTTGTAGTTGTTGTTTTTGTTGCTATTCTCCATTGGAAAATAAAAACAAATGTAATCGCTTAGGATCGTTTAAAATTATGAAACAGTTAAAGTGTTTTTTTATAGGAAGTTTTGAGTTTTGGTGGAATTTAAAATTTGTAAATCACATAGTTGTAGGTCATTAAGTGAGAGAGATACTGGGTTTTGGCGAGAGAGGAGAGAGTTAACGAAAATTCGACTATTTATGAGAAATATATATTCATTCCAGAGAAGCGGGAGCATTTAACAAAATGTCTATTTAACAAAAAAGTGTATCATTAACAAATTGACATTAGACCTCTTTCTATCAGCCTAGAATCTTTTCCAAAGTGGCTTGCTAATGTCCGACCTTTGATCATAATTATCATAATTGCTAATAATTTTATAAAATTTTATTTTAATAATTAACCAGAAGTCAATCAGACAGTCTGTAATTACGAGAGGCCAAACAGCAACAAATCTCCGATTTCAAAGTGGTTTTATTCCGCCTTCCATCTCAGGGCTAATTACCAGCTGCAATTTTTAAACAAATCGAGACAGAATAATCCATTCTAACTATTTGCCCTTTCATTCAGTTCTATGGCAGATATTTCCTTAATATTAACATTTGAATGCAAAGGGGCCCTCCATCTAACCTGTTGGACGGACTGTCTTACCAGTGTTGAGGGA